CCTGAAAAATATAGAGGAAACCATATAAATGCCATTGTCTTTCCTGTGACCTTTGACCTATCTTAAAGGCCTTAAAGTGGCGTAACAATCCCCTACAAAAAACACATATGGTCTATCAAAAACTGGCCTTGGTGTGAGTGTGTGCATGTTCATGTACTGTGTCCTGCAATGGAATGGTATGTTGTCCAGGATGTGTCTTGCCCTTTACCTGTTGCTTGCTGGGAGACACTCCAGCTCCCCCACATCCCTTTATTGGATAAAGCAGTTTGAAAATGAATAGATGAATGTGCTGTATTCAAAAATGTACATATTCATGAACAATGATGTGTCAGTTTTGCCCCAGTGATTGCTGCTTACAGATATATTTAGAATGTGCTTAGAAGATGTTCTTTATGATTCAACAGTATAATACAGTTTATTATTTTTACATCTGTTTGATGAGTAGCGTTGCTGTCTGATCATTTATTTTTGTCACCTTAAGAGGTACTTGTAAGCCCAGACAACTTTAATGAGTGATACCTAGCAGCTAATTATTATTATTATTATTAGAATGTATTATTAATAGAACTATACCTGCATATAAACCTATTGTTTTAATAAAAACAGGATATACAGTAGGATCTCATTTGCTTTTGGAGGAGCGAATAACAGCTTGTGTAAGACAGTTTGGTCTAACGGTGTCTTTTTAAAAGCTCATTTCCTTTATCTTTTATCATAAAAAAATACTTTTGTCCATGTCAGCATGTATATCTCCTCAGACCACAAAACAGTCGACTGTCTATATCTAGAGAATATGTCTTTGTTCATTCCTTCTAGAAATTATATATCTCATGCTTTATGATTTATGAAACACTGGTCTTCCTTTATCATTCTTTCTTTAGAACACTTGTTTCAGTCTTTCACTTATACTTTGTGCTACAACACTACCATTTCAGTAAGACAGTTTCTGCTTCGATTCGAAGGATGTCTCACTTTTTGCCTGAATCTGTCTGCAGCTGTCAATCGAGCCCTCCCTGAACCCATCTCTCTAGCTTTATTATCTGAAACCCATCTCCCTCCCATCTTTTCAAGTTTTCACCTGACAGCCTTCCACTTAAGCACTAATCTTTCACTCACTTCTCTTCTGACTTAAAAGCTTGGCTATACATTTGTGGAACCTGGTTATGTCAGCTCTCCCTGCTAATTCTGTCAGTTTTCCAATACTGGTCATGAACCCTCTATGTGAAATTTGACTAGTAAGCCTGCCAACCTCCTTCTTCTTTGAAAGGGTATTTCAGAACGGAATATTCAAGCAATGATAAAAGAGTAATTCCTCTCGGTCTGTGGTCTCCACAAACCTTCCTGCCGCACCACGCCTGGGACATATGCTTTGTGTGTGGAAACAGACATTAAATGAAATAAAAGGTCTGTGACATTTCCACGGTTTTTTATTGATGTGTATGTATTAATAAATTGAATTTGTGTTGATTCTGACTGTTTCGTAATATAACACCCTATTTCTTGAACACGTGTAAAGGGTAATTTAGCTGAAAGAGTTAATTCACTATATCATACCCAACCGTTAAATGAAGAAAAGTCAACCACAGCAATGTGAATTGGAGCTGAAAATTGATTCTTGATGAATCTGGTATCTGGGAAACAGAAAAGACACGCAGCAGTTTTTCTGTCAGTAGTTGAGAAAGGGAGGGTTGCTGACTTTTATCCATATTTTTGCATGTATTGAGTACACAAAGTACTGAGACCATCTTAGCCATATGGTATGATAGGTATGTGCAAATTGACACCTTGGTGGGCCGGAGTCCAGCAGGTTTTTATAGGTAGCTTTAAATGAGCTACTGAGACCTAAGGAGATTTCATTTCTTATCTATTTAATTCACTTATATTGTTAAGATGACTGAGGTAGAAAAGAAACAACAGACGCCTGAGTTTTCCAGGTTCCTGTTGTATATCAGTATACATTCTAAGTAAAAAATATAAATTATTATAAGAAGCTGTATTTCTCATTACAATGTTCTGGTATGTTAAGATTCTGATTGCTACTATGCTTTTGTATTTCTGTGTCCAATAATACAAGCTTGTGATTCACAATATGTTTGTGTTTATTAACCTTGTTACCATTCCAGTGTGCTGTAGAAATAAAATAATCTCTTAACACGTTTATTAAGAAATGATCCAAGGCATTATTGTATTTGTTTAGCTTAGTCAGGTTTCCTTTAGATTATGAAGAATATTTGCATTACAGTTTTTGTGTTTACTGGTGCCAAAGTGTATTTAACAGTAGAAATATTGAAATGATTTAAAACAGAACAAAACAGAACAAAACTTGCCTTAAGTGAACAAATTGCTTAATTAACCAATAGCTTACTAATATTCTTAACTTTCACCTGAAAGTTCTTAAACTTTCACCAGAATTCTGAAAATGAATCAGAGATCAAAGCATGAGCTACTGAATATTGTATTTTTAAGGACCTAGTGAACATATCATTTTAATCACATGAAGGAGTAAATTAGTACTTATAACAGCAGAAATACCACGCTTTTTGTAGGTGTGCCAGAAATGATGTCATCTGCTAGGTCTGATGAAGTCTTCATCATAATGCAATGACATTATTATGTGATATAACATATGGTTATTACTGTTTGACAGAAATGAGTGGTATTTTCACAGTTGATTCCTTATTATTGTTGGAAATTTTTTGTAAGGTGTATTTGTTTTGTTATTCTCTACAAAGACAATATAACACAAGAATACATTGCCAGAGGTAACTGAATTCTAAGTGATATTGATATTTTTGTGTATGACTTCTTTTGAAATAATATTTTACTCTTTTTTCATTTTTTGCTTTTAAGATCTAATATCTTTTTTTCTGTACTTCTCCTCTGTTGTTTCTATTCAAATATTTATTATTGCTCTTAATCACTGAAGAAAAAGTTTTTGTGGTTGATGGCTTTTGAAATGTAAAAGATAAAATGATTTTGTGATGGGGACTAAAGTACTACTTTTTGTGCATTGCAACTACACATTTACTCTCCTAAAAGAGCATTTGGAACTGATTTAGTCGCTCTACTTTGTTGGAAGTAAAAAAGCACTAAACTCACTAACTATATCTTCATGAAAGAAACCAGAAAAGACTGCAATGAGATCTGTGATATTTATTCTTTGAATTAATGACCCTTTCTACATACTAGATGAATGCTTCGCTGGTTTTTAATTTACTTATTTCTAACTAGGAAAAAGCCTTTTTATCTGATTTATTGCAACAAATGTATATCTTATATAAAGTATCTGACTGTCTTTTTTGTTGTATTACTAAATAATTCTGCTTGATACCTTCACTTATTAACATTTCACACTACATCATGCTACGTCAGAGTTAGAGATCGCATTTAATAGTCTATTAAATACCTTTGAAAGATATTACAATAAGTTGTAATAAATTACTACTTCTTCTTCCAAATCAATAAATAAGGAAATGAATTCACATTCCAAGAAAATACAAATACAGAACATAAACATCAGCTTGTTCAGAAATATCTGACCTAGGGCAATATGTTTCAGCACTGTACAGCACCTGTTCATTTTAATAATTATTTTTATTATTAATTATTTCTGTAATTATTATTGATTTATTTCCACTCCTGAAGCCCTGGTTTAGACTATTTTATCTAATGAATGATTCACCTCATGCATATGCTATATCCAACTGCTTAATGGATAAAGTGCATATTGTGTATAGGTCTTCTAGAAGCTTTGGTAATTTAATTATTAAATATCTTAAGTTTATATTTGGTTGAAATCTTGTTTTGCTTCAGGATAAACACCAGGTCTATTGTAGTGTTGGAATATACTGTTTAAAGGGGTGTGATATTTGTTATTAAAACACAGACCTTGTACAGCTGTGCTAAAATGGAAGAAACAAACAGTAGTGACAGGCAACAGGTGACCTAAGAGGAAATGATTGGGTCAAACCTGGTCTAACATAAGGGCATCTGTACTGCAGAGATCCACTCCAGCAGGTTTCGTAGGTAACCTGCTAATTTAAGTGATGCGATTCTTAAAATAAGTCATTTCAAAATCATCCGAACAAAAAACAGAATACTTTCAGCTCTACAGAAAGAAACTTGCCTTAAGTGCAGTGTTATTTTTCTCCTTGTGTGGTTCACTTTGCACTCATTAACATTAAGTTTAAGTTGCAAAATGCCTGCCAATCCCACAGTTTTGTCTCATTTAATTTTTCTTGTTGTTGTTTCTTTTTGTGCAACGTCTTATTTTTCTACAATCAGAAAATTTGAACAAATGGCTAAATTGATCAATTGCCAGGTAAATTGAACAAACAAGGGCTTAATATACCCTCTACTATAACCGGTCAAAGAAGAGCTATTTAGCCTCACGTTCTTAACACGTCATCTATTGATGTGTTGTCTTTGTATAGTTGAATTTTTTTACTGCTTGGTAGATTCCACACAGTACATTGTCAACGTTATTCTTAGAGATTATTGTTTATTCAAAGCAGGACAGACATTGATATAAGACAATAATGGTATAGTACATTCTCCTTTTCCAGGATTTATACAATCCATAAAATTAATAACCACTAATAAACAAATATCTTGTTTTAAGTTTTCTATATATTTGATTAATGAGGTACTGCAAATCATTTTAGGTCTATCAAGGTTTTAATGCGTTCATGCCATAAGGTGTCAGTGATGTCCACACAATAATTTGAGTGTTCCCTTGATCCCTTGCTTATTATTTACTTACATTATAAGCTCAATTGCATGCCACCTGTTTACACAGCATGTTCAGCAGTGCCCCTTGGCTATGTTCAGGTCTTGGTGCTCTTGTAATGCTTTTAGTGCTATGGGTGAATGTGAATGACATTTAAAAGAATGTTTCGGTCCTCTCTGAGATCCTGTAGCTGGAGTGCCACGTCATTCATGCTAATTTGTTCTAATAAATAGACTGTATTCACACGCACATGCTTCTTTTTTATCATTAGTATGCAAATTATCTGAATTGGCCATGGAAACCTATCAACAAGGGAGAGATGGAAATGGAAATAAAGAAACTTACTCATATTGTTTCAAGGTAAGCATTCTCATATACTGAAAAGTTAGTTCACACATTGAGAGAATGAGATTTCTTAACTGATGTGTATATTATTAAACCAAAATATCCGTTCTTTTTGCACACACTGAGCAGGAAATTTAATTTATAAGAAGTATACTTTAGAGATCTTCTAGTGTATCTAAATCTACTCTACACAATTAAGTTCAATTTAAATTGCAGATCAGCAAAAGTATATATATTGTTGCATGCTGACCATTATTGCCATGATTTTAATTCAATTATATAAAAAGAAAATGGATTTCTGTAAATCACCAGCTCACATCAAATTAAAATGAGAAAATCTAAATACAGGCAGTTTCCAAAATACTTTGTTTCCAAATACTGTTGGCTTTACTGCAAAGCCAGCAAAGGTTCAATAATAGTTATGGTAGCAGATTACTATGCAATTGTACTGTCTCGAATCATACTGCTTATGTTTCATATATTGATATGTACAAATAGTACAAAGCTTTTAATCCTGTTGTGTTTCTTTGTTCATTATGATCATATCCTTACAGGTTTTAGACTTATTAAACAGCATAAACTTGACTAGGGCACATCAGAGACCGGACGTACACCTCTCTACCAAGGACACTGTGTGTGATGAAACAAGGAGCGAGTATCGAGATAAATATGCATTACCTGAGAAAATTCTCAATCTGTCAGAATTCAGAAGCAGACTTCTTCCCAGTAAACAGTTTCAAAAGGAAAACTATACTTTACCAATTACCATCTTCAAAGAAGTGAAGAAGGACAAAAAGGCTTTTCCCATTATGCATAAGGACTTTGGCCTTTTAAATGGAGGAGATATGAGTACATTATTTCTCACACATATTGCCATTGGGAAAAATCTGATTCAGTCAGAATCTTTGTCTTCAGCTCAAGAAATGTTTCACATGAGAGATGTATCATGTCAGATGCTTTCTCATGAACCAAGGAGCAGAAAGCTGAGATCGGAAATGCTTCAGTCCCATATCCTGCCTCCTGTTCATGTGGATTCAGGTTCATTTACTGTATACTTTGTTTTAAATGGGTTACAACATCTTTTTTTATTTTAGACTAGAATTTACCTGAGCAGGGAACGTGTAAAAGCTAAGCATTTCATGAAAGAGTAATACCCATTCCACGGTATGTGGAGGAAATATGAAATGGGTTTGAGAAAAAAACACACATGCAAAGGCTTTATCTACGACAGTCATGGTCTGAACACTTTCCATGCTTACAGAAGCATTAAAGTTAAATTGATATAGGAATAATAATTAAAACTAGAGTAGGTGAATACTTACAAAACATGTCATTTTAAGAGCGATCTGAGAAGGATTTACAGATGACAGATCTTGTTTAACTAACTACAATTCTATGAGCAAACAACTAGGAAGGTTGATAACACTATAGCATTCTGGGATGGTATATACAGTATGCCTATACAGATCCCTCCAAAAGCTTTTTTTATATAAGTCCCTCCTTATAAATTGTTTTTGTCAAAATAGAATGTTTGTATGTACATGGATTGACAATGTGGTTAATGATCTAAATATAGTGTGTCATCTTAAGGGGCACAAATTTTAAATGTGCAGATGACAGCAGCAGTGCATAACAGGGATCTGTTTTTGGCCAGTTGTTCTTTCTTGTCCATATCCTCAAATTAGATTTTTATATTTGAATTAGAGTTAGAAATGAAATTTGCTGCTTATAGAAAATAAGAGGTCGCACAAAAAGAAACAGCAACATGAAAAATTAAATGAGACAAAATTGTGGATTTGGCAGGCATTTTGCAAATTAAATTTAATGTTGATGAGTGCAAAGCGAACTACACAAGAAAGAGAAACATTACACTGCATGTATTGCAGGAAACTTCACACGAGATCTACAAGAGATCTACTGTATGTGTTCATCTCCTCATCAAGACAGTATGGGTAATCAAAAATCAAACTGATTGCTTGTAGCAATATGGCAAAGCGTGTGAAATTTAAATTGGAGAAAAGCACAGTGAAACCTCATTTAATATACTGTAATAAGTCATTACAGTATAAGTCATATATACTGTAAGTCATAAGTCAGTCAACATACATCAAAAAGGATAATACACCTTAGAAAGCATTCCAAGAAGGGCAAAATGAATGATTCCTTAATCTCAACTGATTCTCATTTATGGACAGGTTAAATTAATTACATTTTAGGTTTCTGCCAAGAATAAATAGACAGATTCAGACAAGTGGATATTTTACTCATGTATTTCAAATCATAGGGAGTATATACAGTATATGAGCAACACAGGGTCATAATTGGAAAATTAAAGGGAATTCACTTAAGCTGGAAAGAAATGTGCAAAGATAAATTTTAATCTTATCCAATCATGTGTTTGAGAGTCAAACTGTGGTATCCTCCAATAACAAGTTTAATGAAATTATAGATTTACTTAAAGACTCATTTGCTACCTTTGTTATTTTATTATGCATCAGTGATGAAGCAGTAACAGTAGTAGTTGTATTAAACTGGCTTAATCAGGGATTTTAGTGATGAACATGAACAATGAACATGATATTCCTTTCCAAATCTGGATTTTCTTATTACAATTTTAACCCACTCCATTCAGTTATTCACACCATTCACCACTCATTACAATAGAGTGGCATTGTGTAGTTTAATTAGAGTAGTGATATTGTATGATCGTCTTTCCATATAGGTGATCTTGTATTGTTTTTCCATAAAT